AGAAGGGTAGGGGAGCCTTGTGTGTTAGTTGTATATTGGATGTGAGTCCTCATGTGTCCTGTCACACAATGAGGGACTGGTGGTGGGTAGGACGGCTGGTGAGAAATGCACGGGTGCAAGGGGGCAGATTCATCCACGTTCATTCTTATTCTGGTCATTGAATGCATGCTGTTCCACCTTTTTCCCATGGAATGGGCTCCTGCTCTTCTCCTCCAGACTGAATGCGATGACACAGTGACAACTGTGCAGATTTATATATGTATATATATATATATATATATATATATATAAAAATATATATATATGTGAATGACTCTCTGAATCAGAGATGTAGGCATCAGGCTGTTGCACTTGGTATTTACTCTAGGCCTGATGGAAGAAAGTATTAAAATGACTGATAAGTTTTCTGTGTTAACAGTTTTTAGGGAAAAGTTAGATATTCTGGGTCACAGTGCGGGAAGTTTATTTACTTCAGTAATTTAAAACCTAATGACTTTCATGGTTAATCCCGTTTCCTTTGCTGCTGCCTTATCTCTTTTGATAATGATGTAAGCTTGAATGCAAGTGTGAAGGGCATAGGTTTATACCTGGAAAATCACTGAGGTACTCTATTTGATCATGCAGATCTGTCTGACAAAGACTTGAAGCCTTGTGAGGGGCTATGCGCTACATTTATTCCAGTGACAACACCCATTTCTTTCCTGATGCTCTCTTTGAAAATGAAAATTGCCTGCTTCTTAGTCCTAGAAATACATAATTTTCTGTATATTTCTTCCCCTTACTTATTTCAATCCCTTCTTCTAATCTAACTCAGCATTAAATGTATCAGCACTGGTGACAACTCAAGCAAGTGAATTTAGAGTGGTTCACTTCACTGAAGTGAACTCCTTTGCTGTTGATAACAGAGACAAAATTCAGTTATTTCATTAGTACACAGAATCTGCTAAATAACTAAAGTCAGAATACAGAAAGTAGGAATGGCCAAACTTTTGGAAGAAATAATTCTAGGTCCCAGATCACAAATTTAAAAGGAAGTCCCAAGAGGAACAGATAACTATGGAGAAAACTGAAGTTCTGCAGTGTAGGTATATCCTGATTTCCCAGGAAGTGTTCTCGGTGAAACACTGATGTGTTGAAGAGTTTCTCCAAATTTCAGTATTCTTTTTGGCTTGTGAATGTCAAGGGCAGTTTGTATTTCTTTCTGGAACTGAGATGTCCTCAGAAGTAGCTGAGCCATATGACACAACCATGACTCATTTCTTGACTCAGCTGAGTTCAGAAAGAATAATGGAGGAGGACTGATAAAGTTTGGGCACGAAGCAGATCACCATTTCAGGCAATTTGTTTAGTCTCTAAATGAAGAGGGAAAAATTCTGAATCTCAAAGAAAAAATAGAATATGATAGCAACTTTAAAAAACATTGCAAACCCAAAATTTCTCTGTAAAGCTGTAAATTAAAGGAAAAAAAATCATTTTTTCATCCACTTACTAGCTTGCATGTAAATGAACAGGATTCCATTTTTTTGTTTTGTATTGTATTGCTTCTCTATTGAATTAAGTCTTTGTCCCATTTAAAAGCCCCATCTTGTTCTGTCAATCTCTAAAGCAGCTATTCAGCAGCCAACCAACACAACAGAAATTGCCTATGCTGAATGTTCTTTTCCATTTTTGCATTGTATCCTAGCCTCTCATTATAATGGCACTGCCAGCAGAACTATAGTCAAGCGTGTGTCAATATTTCTATGCCAAACACTGTTTTATTAGTAGATGTTTGTAACAAGACCATTCTAATTTGTATAATCAGGATGAAGCTAAATACAATTATTCTCCATCCTGGCACTAATTTTCTCTAAAAATATGCTTTTTTTTCCCTCAATCACTTTTAAAAGCTTGACAATCAATAGGTAAAAAAGCACTGAGGTTGAAAACTCCATATTGCTGGTTATTCCTCCTCAGGTGGAAAGGGACAAGAAAGAGCATAAGAGACCATGTAAGTATTTAACTTGTGATACAATATGCTGGAAACCAGGAAACTCCTTCTCATGGCTGCAAGAAAGATTTTTTTCAGAATGTTTATTTTGACCTTGGTCTACAAAATAAGAGACTATTTGGAGTTGCAAATGTCTTTTATCTTTCATTTAAATAAATGTGCATGTAATTTGTGTTTTCCATTGCACACTACTTTGTTTTTTTAAGTTTTTTCCCCTTTTTACTCCTCCTGAGTGCAGAGAACACTAACAATATTTGTGTCTATGCCATGGCTATTTTCAGGAAAAGTGTTTGTAACTGACCATGGCTATGAGTGTGAAAGGAAAAGATAAGCTTGTAGGAAGCATTGCCTCATTTGCATACTATTTTTAGTGCAGACCAATTCTTTCATCTTTGTAATGACTTCATTTCTTGCACAAGGTGAACTAAAAATAGAACTTGTTTCTCCCTTGGTAGTATAAGGCAACAAACTGTACTGCAGATGTCCAGCTTTCAGACCTGCTGAGTTTTGAAGTCCAGAGCTCTTGACATTTCCAGACCTCACAGGCTCTCTTAAAATAGTCTTGAAAGTTCAACCAATGACCAAAAGATTGCTTGAATTCCACCTTATGCTGTGGTGTCAGGATTTTCTTATAACCCGGAATTTCTTTCAATACTGACATTGGTAGTCTGAGGTAAATAATTATTATGGTTTTAGCTTACAGTGATGCCTACAGATGTGAGTCTAACCATGTAGGGCTACAAAAGAGCTCTCACTTGTTCTCTCTTCTGTCTCCTTGTCCCTCTTCTGCACCCAGCTGCATCCATCCTGACCTCTCCCTTCCAGTAGGTCAGGTAGGTTTTGGCCTTTCCACTAACTAAGGAGGCAGCTAACTCCATTACTTAGTCTTTTTCTTGAGCCAGTGAGCTGAGTCTGTTCAGACAAGCTCTGGTGGTAAATGGTGGCCACACAGAGCCAGGAGCATCAAGACAAAAGAAGTGGGGGGGGTGTGTCTAGGGAGGATCTTCCCTTTCTGCTGGTCATACATTGTGAGTCTGTCTAAAACTATTCCAACAAGCTGTACCCTGTATAATTTGCAATACAGAAAAAGCATAGCTCCTGCAATTTACCCTGCATGCTGCACCAGAATTGAGGCTGAGTGATTTTCTGTGACAATTATTTGAAATATTTTCTTGTTCAACAACATAGTTCAAGTTCATAGCCTGCTTGTGGAAGTGGCTTGTTGGTATTGCTTCCCAGGGGAGCACTGAGGCACTCGGATTATCACCATGCCGTGCAAGCTGGATGACACAGCTGGTGCTGCTCCTGGACCCACATAGCTTAACATCACATGCTAGGAACACTTATAGGCAGCTTGTTATAAAACACTCAAATGGCTGCTCAAATCCTTGACCTGAAGGAGCACATTAGGCCTGCCAGACTAAAGACTCACTGCTGTAATTTTTATCAGTGGGCAGAAGATGAAGGGGCTTATCCATGAAATTTTACCTCTGGATAAATGCATACATAGTGAAATTTGTATTTATTCATATTTTTTAATCTGAATTTTGCACTAAAAAATTCCCAAAAGAATAAGAGTATCAGCTCCTGTTCACAGACTTGCTCTTTATGCTTTCCCATGATAGTGAATCTGATTCCTACTCAAAGAAGGTGAAACAGCCTTTCATGGAATTAGAGATGGCTTAAAATATTTTAACTTCTTTTTTGATGGATTGGTGCAGCTATTTGTGTATGTGTGTGGTGGAAGTTTCATTTACATTTTTAATTCATAATGCTATGTGATTTTTTTTACTATATATTGTTGCTTTACCACAAATAAATAAAGCCCTCACTTTGGTACACTGATGAGAATTAATCACCCCAGTCTTATGCCAGTCCCCTGATGATGTCAGTGACCCTTTTCTGCACCTGTTGCTATACGACCTTATTTTCTTGGCCATGGATGTCTTGAAATGTACCTCACTTTCTGGATTTCCCAGTATTACAGTTTGCATAAAATAAGGAAACAACTTTAAATAGTGAAAACTTTTTTATTTCTGACTTTGTTTACATCATAGGAACTAATTTTTAGGCATCATCTGAAATACATCTCAGTTCATGAAGATATATATTCAACAACATGGACACAATCTTTTTTCCCATGTTTTGTTCCTTCTTTTTCCAAGCAACGAACTCAGAGTGTGTGCATGGGTTCATGCAGTAAAGCACAGATCTGTGGTAGCTGTGATTTCTGCTGGTCTGTAATTTCTGTGTTCATATTTCTCAGTGGGGGTGTCATGTTCTGCTTCCTAAGATGGATATGGTGGAATCCTCTGTAATAGAAGTGTTTTTTCCCAGGAAAAACCTGCTAGTCCTAAAATCACAAACTACATAAATAAAAAAAAATTAAAAGAGGAAGTAAAGGAATTTAGTTAATTATCACACAATTACAATAATGGAAAGATAAAAACTAATCAGACGTAAAGAACAGCTTGTATAACCATTAACCAGGCCATGGTAAACCATTCCTTAACCCTGACTTAAGAGATCCTTCATGGGATTCATGGCAGACAGTTAACTAATGCCTAAACAATTCCACAGTAATTTAAAGCTGTGGTAAATGGCATCACTCAACCAAGCAGCCACTCTCAGTTCCAACAGTTATTTTTAACTGGTATGAAGTTATGCTAACTCTCTCTGCCCTTTCCCTGCCTAAACTCCACAGGCTAAGTTGTCTTCACTTGCTGTCCTTTTACTGAAGCCCGGGCCAATGACATTGATTATTTGGGATTCTTTTCCTGGAAAAAAAAAAATTCCACTGAAGAGCAGTGTCAAATGTATCTGGAACAATCTCCCTTGGCTGAAGTTGTATTTAATCTCTATAAATATATTTATTTCCTCACCTTCAATTATTTTCATTAAAAGTTGTTGAAAAAATGTATATTCTTAGGACCAATCTAGCAGCTAGTAGCTATCCAACTAAATTTTTTCACATTCTCACTGACTAATGTCAGTCAAACTAGGGGAAGGAGATGAGTTTACACAAGAGGGGTAAAAATTGACTGAAGTGAGCATGTCCCTGATGAGTGTTGAAGAGGTAGCGGTAGGCAGGAATGAGGTTACTTCTGGAAGGTTGTGTGGCTAAAAAAAACAAGGCTCTGTGTTTGTTTAGTATTTTTACTTCTAAACTGAGGATCAAAAGTGGCAGTGAACTAAAAATTATGCTGGTGACACACTGCTGTGTGGCACTGCCTGTGTAGAGGAGGATCAAAATATCATATGAATGAGATGGATGACTAAAGATTGAAATAAAAAGAAATGGATGAAATTTAATAGCACAAAGTTCAAGGTCATGCAGTCACAGCCCAACAAAAACTTCTGCCAAGGACTGTCAGCCTATATTTTGGAAACAAATGAAGAGAAGGAAAAGACTTGGGGCTACTCTCTGGCTATAGGTGAGTAGGAAAATGAAATTCCTTCTGTGTTTTGTTTGTCAGGAATTCCTCTTTCCATCCCTCTTTTCCCATGTCTCACAAGGCAGACATTCCTGTCTCCACACCTCAGATTACTGCCTTCTCTCTGGTAGTGATGCAGCAGGATCCCACAGCAGGAACACTCTGGAAAGTACGTGAGGAAAAGAGTTGGAAGCTGTTTGAGGTGAAGCAATTGCAAATGTCAGTCCATATATGGAGGCCATGCCATGGGGGGTGATGTGCACAGCCCTGGTAAGACATGCTCCAAAAAGATCAATGCCAGGTCAGTAAGATTGATTTGCTGTGAAAAATTGTTTGATATGAAGCCTGTAGGAGCAGGGATATGAACTGTGTCTTAAGAGGCTTTCAGTCCTATGTTCCTGGGCAGTAGCAAGTGTCTGATGTAGGCAACATGCTGAGGACCAACTTGTAACAAGTACCTAACAAGTACAAGTTTTTTCTTTCAAATAACATGCTGAGGACCAACTTGTAACAAGTACCTAACAAGTACAAGTTTTTTCTTTCAAATACATGTATTTTTCTGCAGACATTGTTTTATGAAATCCAGGGAACAAGAACTGAGTTTTTGAGAACCAGATGAAAGGTTTAATATATGGTTTATAGGTGACACAGGTAAATATTGATGCAATAATTTTCTATAATCCATTAACTCCTAAATTTTTTTTTCTCTAGAACACCAGGTGTTTAGGAAAGCTGGACAAGCAGTCAATTTAAACAAACTCTCTTCTACAGCTGGAATAGAAGAACAATAGAGCTTGGAGAAAATGAGATCTCTTGATCTGATTCTGACACCCTGCTGCCTCTCTCCCAGCCCCAGCCAGTGACCAGTGTCAGCACTAATGAGGGGGAGACAGCAGCACGCCTTGTTGTAGCTGCTCTTTCTTCTTGTAGCAGTGTTGATGACCTCCCCAGAGCACACCTCTGAATATGCAAGCTATTAACTCACGTAGCATTTCTGGGGATTGCAGTCCCTGACAGTTTCCTCAGACACTGTGCTCCTGCAGATGAGAAAGAAAGTGTTGGACTTGGTCACCATGGCACATGGAAATGGGGAGGGCTGGGACGAGAGAGCTGGAGAGGAAGATGATAGTCTGGTGTTATTCCAGGAGGTGTGGGGTGCTGAGGGTCAGCAAGTGTAGTTGTCTTGTTGCATCTCATGATTAAAGCATTTGAAAATGAGTTAAAGACCAGTTATTGAATAGAAAAGGCTGCAAGGGGAAAAGCGTCATTCCTCATTATATAGGCTTGAGATGAGATCCAAATCCAACCTGCCACATATCTGCACTCAGCTGCACGTGCTTGTAGCCAGAAGAATGACAGCTTGGTACCTACCTACATGTCAGTCAGTCTCTTTACCCCAAATAAACTTTTGCTTCTATGGTATCCTTTCCTTCAAAGCAATGCTGACAAGGATTTATCGAATTAACCTAAATGGCTTTAAGCCCCAATTCATGCTGGTGCAGCATGTCTCTATCAGGGGTTTGCACTGGTATAACTAATTGATTTAGCTACAGATGGGAAAATTTTCTTAACAAGAGAATGCCTAAACTGCTGGCCAGGCTGCCTTTGTTGTTTGCAAGTAATCTCCCTCAGCCTGTTGTTTGCATAAATTTTCTCTGTTTTGGATTCCCATAGAGCTAATTTACACAGGAGCCACACAATAGCATGGTTTACATTTCTTGCTCCTTTTCAAAATGGACTGCAGGATCCTAAAGAAAAAGACTTTTCATGAATTGTCTGCATTTCTGTGAATATTTCATTGCCTCTGTCTCAGTCCTCAAGTATACTGTGGAAAAGCAATTCATTTGACAAATGAGCTTTTTCTAATTGAGCAGAGAAAGCAGAGAATTCCATTCTGCTCCCAAAGTGACTGGACACAGAGCACCCTTTGAATCCCGTTTCTGATACTTAGTGTTATATTAACAGATCTGTGAGCTGCTTCCTTTGGCTAACCTGTAATATTTGACATGAATTTTCTCTCATTGATCTCAGAGCTAAGCTTACTTGCTACTGTGTCTGTGTGAGCTCAGCTGAAAACCTGTGCACAGGTGTGAGACCAATGTGATGTAATCCAAGTTGATGTTCACAGAAAATGTGTGTGTTCTCACCTGAATGAAACTAAATTGAAAATAAGAACAACCTTTTTGGTGGGGAATTAGATATGAGGTCCAACTTCAGGTAAATAAAGTTTGGAGTCTTCTTATATATGGGTGTAGAACCTATGACATTATCTTAATTATTTATGGCACACCATAATGATATAATCCTATTTATTGTTAAAAACACTGACTTCCTTCTTTTTAGTCCACTTATGCACTTTCAGACCTAATAACCTTTTCAGGGGAACAGTGCTGAAATCTGGAGACAGTGATGCAATGAACTTCAGCAATTGCTATCATTCCTCAGTGTGGACAATGTCTTAGGAAACATTGTACATGGAATATATGGAACACAAACAGCACATTTGGCTCTGTTTGCTAGCTCTCTAAAAGTACTGGGGGTTTTTTTCATCATCAACTTGAGTCCTCTTTAGTTCTAGTTTTTGAATTGTTTCACTAATTGTGAAGTAGAGGTACAACTTAATGGACCCAAATGATTCACACTAATGTAAGGAGTGTATAAACATTGCAGTCTTTGCCACGAGAACCATATTTTCCTTGAGAACATTTATGCTCTTCACATATTTGAATGATATCCATTTTGCAGTCTAATCCTACAAAGAAATGGTTGGAATGTGGGGCATTACAGAAACTGATAAAGAGAGATCTGCAGGTGAGTACATCATATTGGCATTTTATTTGCCAATATAGTTAACTTATGTGTCTAAATAGTTTTAAACTGTTCATTGAATTGAAAAATAAAGGGTTTTGAAAAGAAAATAAATATAGGTAGGTGACTTTTTACCATGCTAAGTAGTCTTATTTCTGCCTTTTGCGCAAACCAATTCAAAAGAAAACACTATTTCTATAACAGGAACAAATAATTCCTCTCTTTAAATTGTATTGTTATGGCCATCTACTTTTTCCTTCTTTATGGTGAAAAGATAGACATGAATAAGTAATGCAATTTTCAAGAAGAGATGTTGCTACAGCCCAGAAATGTGAACTTTTAACACACAATTTTGTGTATTGCAAAGACTTTTGAAAATTAGCTAGGAAACAGTTGACAGCTGGAGAAGGAATTGGGATGTATCTTGACTTACCAGATTGTGACTAAAAGCCCACATGTACCTTTTCCAGACGTAGTTTTCACACTACTGTAAAATTTTCACACTGCTTTTCCAAAATATCTTTTTAAAAATTGTTTCTAAGTAGATTATGTTCAAAATTTATTAATTTACCAATGAAATTTTTTATATACATATCTATATGTATCTCAGAATTAAATTCTCTCTGCAAAATCTGTAAAAATTACAGAAACTGCTCACTTATATGATTGGAATAGAAATATAGATTTTATTTTTCATTCCAGTCCTAACATTTCTAACAATGCTGATAATTTTTCAATGCTTGTTTGATTTGTGGCACAGTTTTTTCTCTGTATCAGGAAGGTCTCTGGCTACTTGGCAAGGTGCAAGGCTTAGCTGTGCAATAGTCAGAATTCCAGCATGAAGGAGCAGAATTCATGGTAATAAGCATCAATATTCCTTATAGACTAAACATTGTAGTTAGGCTCCAAGAATGGGATTTAAAGCAATCACCATGGTGGTGGAAGCTTTAAGGCAGGCAACAATATTAACTCATTTTTCCATCCATCTTTCATGATACTGTGCCTTTTTCAGATGTTCTGCATCTCACCTTTGCTTTTGTTTGCTCTCACTTTCTTAATTTCTCCTGATTTCCACATTCTTTGTTTTCTTTAAACCTCTGCTTTATATGCTCAGTGCTGAGTAACACAATGAGGGGACATTCCTGTACATCTCCCACTCTCCCCCTAAACACCCCACACTGTATTAAACAGTAGTTAAGTCTCATGTGAGTAACAGTTATGTCCTTGAGGAGCCAATACTCATTATATTGATAAAGATTAGTCCATAAATAAAATCAAAAGAATCCAGGCTCATAAAGCAAAGAGGCTAGAGAGTGACCCACTGGAGTCTGAACTCACCTGCGCCTTTCTTACTTCTGACCTCGGTTAACATGAATTAACTAGGTTTCTGCTTTTTTTCCATCTGTTTTTATGTCAATGTCAAGAACAATTAACAATCTCTCTGAACACGTCTTTTAGAAGAAATATGTGACCAATGTAGAAATTAAAAAAGACCCTTTTGGCACCTTGGGCGTGCGTGGAGGGAGAGAACAAGAGATTATAGAAGTGTCAAAAAAGACCAGCTGGAAAATAAAAGGTTGGCTGAGTAGCTGATGTGAGAAGAAGCCATCACAAGAGCAAGAACTGGTCCTGGATGTCTGTGAAATGAGATGAGAAAGCAATTTTCTTCATATATATATTCTCATCCTATGAAGATTTTATGTATTAATTTCATGTCAATGAGTAGCCCTACTGACTTCATTAGAACTGCTAATGTGTTTAAGATTAATCACACGCTTATATTCTCCCCTGCTGAAGATACGTTTTCAGGAGAATTGTTCTTAGAACACTTTTCACCTTACATTAAGGTACTGCCTCAGATGTGAGACCTATAATCTTGCTTACTAGTGTAAACACTGGTGACCCACAAACCACACAACAAATCACCCAGCATTGGACCTTTCTTTGTGGGAACCAGGACAACAGCTGGATCTGCAGCCCTTGACTGAAGATGCAGCAGCATCACACTGGAGCCAGGGAATAGCAGAGGGTGAAGGGAAAAATAGCACAAAACTGAAAAACTGACTATTTTCAGTAATAAAAATATCTATAGATGACAGTGCCTGACTTCTGAGTAGAACCCAACTACTCCTCACATTGATCTAAATTTCTTACTGTTCTTGACCATGTCAAGTTGAAGCAGGTAGGAGGTGACACCTGGGAGTGTGACTCTTTCCCTCCTCTGGCTTCACTCCAAGGAATTGGAAAGAGCCTTCTTGCACTGGGGATCATAGATCTGGAATCCTCTCCTGACAGCAGTCTTCTGTAACTATTTCTTCAAAGAATTGACCCAGCTCTCTCTTCCCTTTAATGTTCAGGCAGGGAGAGGTGGTTTCCTCAATTCCTGTTAGAGATCAGAGCACTCTCTGAGGAAGTGAGACACCCAGGCTCAATACCTTCCTCAGCATGAAATGGTTCAAACACATGTCTCTCTAATTAGTGGGGAATGTGCAAAGAAGCCTCTTGAAATTCTTTTAGAACTTCAGGGTTTGGCTGAAAACTCAGTGTCACCAAAGGTGGTGTGGGCTGTGCACCCTGCAGGTGCTGTGCACAGGAACCTGGCTGAGTGCTGAGTGCTTTAACCAGTGCACTGGTTTGCAAATAGGACCTCCTAAGGAGAGGTGGGGTGTAGCTGGTGCCTTGGATTGCAGTGGAGTATTTGCTAGGAGATAAGCAGTCATTGCCCCAGGACAAGCACTTGCAAGACTGCCTGGGAAAATAAATGCCTTGGGAACTTGCAAATGAAGTTGGGATATGACTGATAATTCTCCAGCAGATATTTGGTAGGTATAGAATCCCTAATTTAGAGACGTTGCTGCAGTGCATCTTCCCAACATAAAGCTCGGATGGTCAGAAAAACCGGCAAACTGTGTTTAAGTGAAAATGTTTTTAATTCATTCCCTCCTCTTCTCCTACTTTCCTTTTTACATCTTCTTATAAATTAGAATTCTTTCACAAAATTTGTCTCTGGAGGGCTTTTCTATCTCTCTCCTTAGGTTTCTTAGATTCAGAGAGAAACATAAAGTCTGTTTTAACTTCTACCCTGGGATTAATAGAATCAAGCCTGTCTAGCTGCTGGGTAAATCAGAGCAATTTCCCTCTATGCCAAATGCCAGTGGTTTGTCATAGATGTGCTCAAGCCTCTTCATTAAATGTGGCTTGCAGTCCATGCTGTGTACTGGTAGCAGTTAGCTAAGGGAAGAGAGATACAAAGAATGACCAAAAGGCGAAGTAAGACCCACTTCCAAATGTCTTTCAACCACATCCCCAAACTCAGGCCAGATCTGCTTTGCCTGTTGTAAATGTTATATTATTTGTATGGACTCTTTAAACCCTGCCATTTTTAGCATTTAAAAGTAAAAGAATAAACA